ACAGAGTAACTTGCTTTGGTAACTGTTTGTTTTTGATGAAATAGTAGTTTCCTTTTTTTCATATGTAACAGCTAAAGACACGTCAAAGGATAATTGCTTCTTCCTACAACTTGGACATCACAAACTGATGAAATTTTGAAAATGCTACAAGTCTCATGCTTTTTTTTCTTTCCTACGTAAGAGGAAGAGAGGGTCCTTGGAAGAACGTGAATTAGACATTCTTTTCCTTGCATTTGGGCTTGCAATTCAGCCAGATCCTTGCTTAATTAATTATTTTTTCTGTGTGTCTATATGTTTTAGAAACACCTATGTTCAAGATAGGTACACCTTATAAATGTAAATGAATAAAATAATGTCAGATGCTGCTATGTTGTGAGATGGAATTTACCTCACTTTGCAGAAAGCTTGGAGAAAAGGACTCTGTTCTGCAGTTGGAAAATACCTAATATAGGTATAAGTGGTTTTTTTGGGGGGGGGCGGGGGGTGGGGAGGGGGAGGTGATGAACAAGCACTGTTTACATATGTAATTTCCACATAGAGCTGAATGTACTGATTTTGTATTTGAAAATCTAAGACAAAGTTTGTCTCTTTTCAAAAAGATGTGAAGGCTTATGAGCAGATACAGTTCTTGAAAGGAAATCTACCATATTTCTCTTTTAATTAAAAATAATTTTGATATGCTTTTTACAACTTTTCTCGCTTAACGCTTGTCTCGATATTTTTTCCCTATTTTGATCAAAGGTAAGCATAAAATATTCATTGTAATAATATATTGTAGAGTTCATTTTATTAGAACTCAGAAGTCAGTATAAGTGACGTGGGAAAGTGACTTACTAAATCCATCTCAGACTGGTGCAGCACAGCAGTAGAACAGTCATCTCTTCATTGTGAGAGTGCCCTCTTTTGAGGAAGTGTAGCTCAAATATATTTGTTTAAAAGAAAAAAAAAATCTGAATTTGTAGATGTATTCCAAGCAATGACTTCTAGCAGGTTAAATTCCTTGATATCTGTTTATATTCTTAGTGCTCCTTTTCTGCAGCTGAAATAGGAGAAAGAGCAACTCAATGTTATCACTTTTCTTTATATTTAGTGCTGGATATGTGTTTCCTTTGTTGGATTTGGACATGTTTCATACTTGCTTTTAGCAATATTTTAAAGTGTGAAAGACACATTAAAAAAATCCAATCTTTTCAACTTAGGTTTTTCAAGTATTCTTGCTTTAGCCTTCTGTCAGCCTGCAATCATGCCAGGACTTTGAATGTGTGTAGTGTGATGGGCAGCTTTGCTTTGTTCATCCTCAGCTGTTGCTTTTCCTTCCAAAGTGGATCTGAATTGAACTGCTTGGTTTGATTACTTGCAGATTCTCGCTTAAGTTCCTTTACTGATAGGAAATGCTTGGATACTGTGCAGATATAGGTATTTAGATACCACCAAATAGTCCGGAAGATGGAATGTGTTTTTCCCCTGGGAAACTGGGTCTGTTCCGATTTGCTAGATACATACAATGGAGTCTTTTAGGGCTCAGCTTCTCTGTAACTTCTTCTACAGTAGCAGTGCTTTTCTGTTGGAACAGGATAAGGGCCTTAATCATTTGTTTTGGTTTGCTAAACTGGTGTATAAGTAGCAGCCTCAGTAAGAATCAACTGTGGTGAGACAGTGTGCACAGCTAATGCCATAGTCCTTGTGTTTCATACCCTCTTGTAATTCCAACTAGCCATTCAGTGTTTTTCCCTGGTATCAAACACTTGCTTATTTGCAAAACATTTGGCAAGCTATTCCAGTGTCGTTGGCGGTATCTTCCAAAACTGTAATTTATTATTTGAGAAATCTAGAGGAAGAAAAAGGGAATTATCATGTGTTGAGTAACTCATGAAAGGTACTTAATGATCTGTCTCTATTCTATGGGTCGTGTGCTCACATGTTGAAGTGTTAGAGATTACCCTTGGATAGTTGAAAGATTTATCTCCTATAGCCTTTAAGTTATGTGAAAGTACAGAAATTGTGACTGAAGACTCTAGTTAGAGGTTCTTCACAAGGTTGTGTCTGTGTGGGAGGAGCCCATAAAGGGCAAATGTGTCTGCCTGGCATGTCCTGTTCAGTTACTTATGGTTAAACAGCCCATCATATTATGATTCAAGAGGGAATTTCTCAGCAAGTCCATCTTTTTATTTGGTCACCCTCCTATGAGCACGGGACATGAACCATTTCTTAAAAGTGTCATGGAGTTTTATTTGCCAGATTTCCTACTCTTGCCGGGACATAGAACATGGGTGATGTCCTCAGTCTAGTCTCTGGTATGTTGTAATTGTGGCTTTTGATCTTACTGCAGCCTAAGTTTATCATGGGGCTCTGGGAAATGTGTGTGGCTCTGGTTTGTGGTGGCTTTGAGGAATGGAAGTTCTTGTAGCTCTTCTGATTATTCTATTATTGCCTGCAGCTGGTGGATTTGATAAGCCATGCATCCCTTTTGGGCCCTTTTTTTTTTTTTTTTTGATATAATGTGGAGTAAATTGAAATTTTTTTAAAATGAATATATTCTTTCCTGAAGAGCTTCTTATGGACAAATTACTATACATTTTTTAATATGTATATTTGCATATAAAATTATATACTGTCCATGTGTATGTATATGCATACTGTAAGACTGCTGGGCAGTGGAGGAAAAAACCTCAAGTATCTTATCTAATTCAGTAGCCTTGATGAAAGGAACCTAGAGCGTTTGAACAGCTTTATCTTCAAGGCAGCCCTGTGAAATAATTCATGTTTTTTCATTCTACCTTAGGAAGAAAGTATGCAGCTGGAATTGCTGTTGCCACCTGTTATCCCAAGAGTGTTTACTAGACTTTCTTTTCAATTTATCTTATTCCTCCTCTTTTCTATATCTTAGACTGTCTCAAATTTCATGAGTTCTTTTGGACAAAAAACTGTATTTTGGGTGTAGAACCTAGTAGGGCCATGCGTGGCCTACGTTGGTGCAACTGCAATGCTAATACTGAATACAACTAATGATTTAAAAACTGTTTTACTTGAATTCATGTGATTAGACTGTGGTAGAGCTGGGTATCGGATCCCGATCCTGACAGCTCCATCTTTCTCTCTGAACACCCATTCATGTTATCTTACATATTACCTTTCTCCTATCTTTTCAAATATCTGTATCTAAACCATACCGGAAGAAAAATCCGGATGTCTGGCAGCTGCGCTTGGAGCCCAGGTCCCCGGCAGGGGCTGGGTCGGGGCGGCCCCACGGTCTTCCCTCGGAGCCGTGGCTGGCCACCGCGCTGGCTCCAACGGACGTCTGCGGCCGTTGGCCCGGAGCTCCTGCTGCCTTCCCTGGAGGGACAGCAGCCTCCTGCTGGGAAACCGCCAAATCCAGCGCTTTGCCCCCAAGTCTGGCTGGCTGCCTAGAGCCACCCTTGTTTGTACTGTGGGCTCACGCTCCCGGGTCGCAGTCCGCCTGGGTAAGGCTCACGTGCGGGGTGGGTCTGGGCGAGACTGGGTGGCCGTGGGAGCGGCACGTAGGGTTGGGAAAGATTTGTGTCATCGTGCAGTGGTCGAGGGGGTACCAGCTGTGTATTGGGAATCAACTGAAGATGCTAAAGGAAGCTGAGAAGTGAGAGGGCCTAAATGAAAACGGGGATTTTTTTTTTTTTTTTTTTTTTTTTAAATTACGGGACTTTGCATTTGTCCTGTGGCAGATTACTGGGGTAATTCCAATTCTTCATGAAAGTTCAAAGTGAATTTGTCTTTACAATCTCTGTAAATGATAAGCATTTAAATGAACTGAGATTTACAGACCAAAGTAGCTTAATTTATGTGCAAGACTGATAATGGCTCTTTGGAACTGCTTTTTCCTCTATTTAGGTACAATATGTTTTTGTAACCTTCCATAAAATGATTCATTTCTAAAGTATGGAGAAAGAACAAGGGCATAAAGTAATATAATAATATACATTGCTACGATAACTCAAGCAAAGCATGGCAGGAAGTTCGTATTTAAGGGTGGAGCACTAAACTATTGCTTATTCCGTAGGAAACCACATGTGGTGATTGGCAAGAAAAGTAGGGCTTGGCACCCATTCCTAGTTTCCAAAGGGTGAGGGAGGAACGAAGGAGTGATCCAATCTGAAACATCTGATGATGAGTTAGTGTATGTGGTTCATGGAATGTCTCCTCGCGTTGCTTAAACATACTGGTAAACTTTATCAATATGTTCTTTATGGGCTCTGTCATGACAGTATCCAATCACCTTATCAGAAATGTATTTTTCTTCATAACATTACTGCCTGCTGGTGAGATGCTGAGATCCATGTTTTGTAAATGAAGAAAAAGTCCCAAAGAGTACAGCTAAAATACACACCATGCGGCATCATGCCCATGTGGCAAAGCGTTGCTTGCATCCAGGAAGCGGCATGTTTGTCTTGGCGTAATGCCATATGGGGCTAGTTAGCTGTGAATGTAAACAGCTGAAAGCAAAGGGAAAAATAAAACCTGAAACATCATCAGGGAGAATATCAAGTTGTAAGTTAAGAATTCTTAAGACGTTAGGCAGCTGACGTACAAAGGGAGGTATATATATTGAAATGCTTTAAGATTCTTGGTTTTTTTTTTTTTTTTTTTTAAATTGGTGCTAGCAAAATGAGGTCTCTGTGCTGCATAATACCAACTATTACCTTAGTGTTTAGGTGACAGACTTGGGACAAGAGGTTAAGAAGAAGTTTTTCTGGAAGGAGCTGAGCTGTACTGTGATTTTGAGGAAAGGATGTGACATTAAAAGATGCATTGGGAGCGTGGTAAAGAATGGAGAGAAAGACGTTCGTAAAGAGACAGATGGAGCAGTCAGGATCAGGATCCTGTACCCTTTTCATCACCTGGTAAAACTGCAGCATGCAGCAGTAATAAAGCATTGTTTAGTTCTCCTTTGTTTCTCCCTCAGGGCTGGAAGGGGGCTGGATCTGGTCCCACATGTTTGGGGCTGTGCTGCTTAGCCGGGGGTCGGCCCGGATGCTCTCCGTTCTGGCTGCCACCCTGTTTAAGGGGAAGAACTCTCAGGTCTGTGATGATCAGGTAAAACAACCACAGCAGTCGCTGGCTGGGCAACTTCATGTATGACCCAAAACGGCGTAGTACTGCGGGACTGAACTTGCAAATGGTATGTTAAGTACAGATTTGAACCAGTCTGCTGATGTCAGTAAAAGATGTTCCAGTGACCAGTCCTGTGTCGTCTTGTGTATTTGCAGTGTTGGGTCTGAAGTCTGACTTTTCAGTACTGAAAAATTATTCATAAGAAATTACAAGCAAAAAAGAAGATTCTTTTTGCTTGTAATGATGCTCTAATAAAAGCTCACTTCATTGTTACTTGCCAAAGCTATCAGGATTTCCTACCTTTTCTTATTTCCCAACATTCTTGTTTTAGGAGGAAATTTTGAGAGGAACAGTTAACTTGTCTGGAGAAAATATGTGGTCTCTTTTTATAGCCTTTTAGAGTTTTGCTCTTCAGGAAAAGGTTTAAACAACTGTTGAAAGTCATGTAACTATGCAGAAAATTTTGGGCTCCCGAGCTGAGTGAATGAGTGTGTGCTGGATGCGTTTGTCTGAAAATTCATACATTCCACATGTAATCTCACAAGTGATATTGAGTAATCAAAATATTTGCTGTGCCAAAATAATTTTCCACACGTATTAATATTCCTGTTGAGGATCAAGCACATCAGTGTTCACACATCAGTGACCAATTTTGTGCATAATCTGAACTAAATCAATACGACATTAATGTATCACACTGTATCCCCGCATTTTAACACAGTTAAACAAAGGCAAACAGGCGTCTGTGAAGAAAGAAGTAAGCCTGCAGCGTGTAGGTAGATAAAAAGTTCTTAAGAAATAGATCAGTTTTTCTGAGATAAGGCTGAGGATGTTCATTTTGTTCATAGTACTCGTGCTAGGAATCTCAAATCATCGTTTTTCTGAAGAGTTATCTGAAATTTATAGCGCTCTCTAAAAGGCAGATTGGTACTGAATTTCCCTCTTGGGCTATTTGTCGTTTCAGAAGGAAATACATCCTCATTACAGTCTCACAGTGAAGATTCTCAGAGCGAGAAATATCCATGGCCTGGATCTCTGTAAGTCTTTGATTCACGCTCCGGTCATTCGTGTTCTTGCTCTGCGGACAGCCACCCTCAGCTTCTGTGGCCCGTGTCTAGGCTCTGACTGAAGCAGTCATACAAAAATTTTGATTTTTAAGCCTCTTGAGACTCATAAGCAGAAAAATCCTCGATGTTAATTTTAAGGCTTTTCAGGAAGTGTAGAAAACCCATTTCCATCAAGAGTTTAAAAGTTACAGGATTGGCAAGGTGAGAACTGTGACTTTGTTCTATTAGTAAGCGTGAGATCTTGTACTAGTGAATTAAATTGACTCACACTTGCATCACAATTCTCTCACTTTGCTGTCCCTACAGCAAAATCGCTTTTAGAAAAGCTTTAAAAACTGTTGGCTTTGGTTTCAATTAAGTGAATTAGGTTGGTACTTCAGGCTTTAACAACCCTATCTCTCAATTACGATTGCCCTTAAAAAAATAAAACGAAACAAAAAATCCCACCATACGGCAAGCATACTGGCTGCACCTGCAAGCCCATCTATTCACGTAAGTAGGTGTTACAGATAAGGTGGCCACCCTTTTGTGGGGTTGCTAGATTGCAGGCACGGAGGACATATTTGCATGCACAAAAATATGAGTTTGTTTTTTCCATGCATGACTGACTTTAAAGGAGCTAAGATAGGGGAAACCATAGCAGCTAGGCACAGTGCCTGAAGAGAGGCTAAGATTTTGTAATTAATAACACTTGGTTTTGGTACTACTGTATAAATAAAATATTAATTTTCATGCTTTTTGAATAAAATACGTTTTGGAAGATTTTTATGATCAAAATTCTGTTGTGGATGTTCAAAGCCTGAACTGCTGAAGAGATGATATAATCTGGCTAATGGGATATGTCAACACACATGTGAAGAAAGCAGTGACCTAACATGAAAACAATTGCTCGTTATTTGTCTTCCCTTCCCAGTGTCCAAGGCAAACTGCTATGTGGCAGTGGATCTTCCGACCGCATCTCCAGTCACTTCTCGAACACGGGTTATTTATAACTGCAGCGATCCGGAGTGGAATGAGACTTTTAAATACAGGATCCACAATGCTGTGAAGGTAAAACTTGTGCTTTTTTTTTGTAAACTGCCCTGAATGCTATATGTAATACCTGTCTGAACCCTGTGCTGAGTCAAAGCTGAAAAAACATTGAGTCCTTGGAGGAGGGTGTGGCCAGCTTTCTGCTGGTTTAGCAGGCTGAGCTGGCTCAGTGGAGCACTGGATGAGCAGCAGAGCCAGCGGGAAGGAGGGAGCAGAGCCTTGTGGCAGGGGGGAGCAGGGGAGACAGACCCTTGTTACTGGGTTAAGCCAGCTCCGTGGAACTCAAGCGTTGGTAAAGGGCTCTGTGTCCTAGGAAAAGCATCGCCTGGGAAAACGCTGGTGCAGGGAAGGGAAGGCCTTGTTCTTTTAAGGGTGCTCTACTTTGGAGCAGGATGGGCAGAGAAATTTTTGCATTTTTCTCAGAGGAATTTGTTACAAGTGAAACGATAATATTTGTGTGGAACTTCACCTCTTTACAGTGCTGCACAAAATCATCCTCACAGTATCATTAACACCAGCAGGTGAAAGACTTGTCTGGAACTGCACCCAAAAATTTTAAACTAAGGCAGTTCTCCATCCATTATTCAAGTCACTGGCTATCTTCAGTGCTTTAGCAAAGAATAACTAAGTATTTGTCAGTCTGGGGCATGCCCCAAGACAAGTAGTGCTTATGTATTGGGTTGTCTTGCCACTGTTTAACAAGGACCTAATAAAACATAGTTTTAGTAGGGTAAATGACGCTTGAAAAAAAAAAAAAAAAAAAGAGACCAATCAATTAGGAAGAATGGTTCATTCTGTATATGGCTATGTTATGTTAGACTTTGTAATTTAGACCTATTTTGATATAAACTCTCAAGTTGTCTCCCGTTACAGAATATCTTGGAGTTCACGTTCTATGATGCAAACGTTGTGCTGAGAAGTCATGCTGCCTCCATTGCTTTTGATGTGGCAAATATTACACCAGGCCAGACTTTTAATCACACATTTGTGCTCAGTCACCAGGTGAGACACTTTACGCAGTTTCTCAATAGGGAACATAGGAAGCAATGTATAATCAGAGCACGATATTGATATGACACAGCTTTGAAAGAGGCAAATGGGATCCAGAGGTGTATGAGGTTGAGATATATTTCCAGTGGAAGAAGGGAAACATTAATGCCATTGAACAAAGCTCTGGCATGATCTCGTGTGAGCTAGTGTTTGTGACTGGTCACCTGTGTTTGAGGGAGGTGAACTTGTAACAGATGCATGGATGAGGAAGCAGAGGAAAGGAAAACCTGCCATTTGGGAGGACACCAGATGACTGTAGCTTAATTTGCAACACAGCAACAGTTGAGAATGGACCTGTCTGCTCTTTATGAAAACGATCTAGATAAGAGATAAAGCTAAAAGGCCCATCCAGGCATGAAAACAAATAGGTATTAACTAACTAAGAATAAACGGAAGCTGAAAATGAGAAGAGTGTTTCACAGTTTTGAGGTATCTGTGAAAGACTTGACGATGGTTAGGCTAACTTATTGGTGGAAATCTAAACTAGAAGCTGATGAATTAAAGTAACAACTCATTTATAACAAGTTATGTAAATTTTATTGAGCTATGCTGCATTGGCTGTGGAGTCTCATCCTTTCTGCTGGAGCAAAACTTAGGGACAAATATTTGTCTCTTTAGAGAAATGATGGAAAAAAAAAATTTGGATAACATGAAAATATGGTGGAGAAAAAAAGTGTGAAGAACGGTTTTGCTCAGACAGTTTCACAAACCCAGTGCCTCTTCTGGATTTGTGTTCAGATCCCAACTGATTGGAAGAGTAGTGCTAGACTATAAGCAAAAGGCATCCTGTATTGGTTTCTTTACTTGAAAAGTAGGATCTGCTTGGAGAAGCTAAAACAAAATCTGATTGTCCAACATGAATTTTCAGGACTAAGAAAAGTATGTTGACTGCTGTAAAAACTTAATGCTTAGTGACTACAGGTGTTCAGAAACCTGGAGGATGAAATTTTACTCAGATCAGTCTTAATCCCTCCGGGATAGTATTGCACTTCGGAAAGGAGCTGTTGAACCACACCACCACACTGCTTAGCAGTCTTCCCTCTCAGCACTGTATGCATTGGGTTTTTAGCCACTGTTGGGAGAGGTGGGCACTGGGCTATAAAATGAAGTCAACGGAAGCCTGAATATGGGCCGGGGCAGCTGCGGCTGCAATGGCCGTTAGGCATAAATCCATCATACTGGTGGAAATAAAGATGTTTCACCTTTGGGCAAGTCTCTACGTACTGCAAGATTTGTTCAGGAATTTAAGTAAA